CCAGCCCATGAAGAATCGATGCATCAGGGGGTGTGTGCCGATGCCTTTAACCGACGCAACTTGCACCGAATAGGGTTCACCAAGGGACGAAGAGCTTAGGAGTAGTCCTGGCCATCTCCGGCCCGGCCCTGTCGGCCCACCCAGGCGCGGCCCTAAAATCCAGGGCCTAGGACCGATGGGCTTGCCCATGGGCCGGGCTTGCGCCTGAGTTTTGAGCCCACTAGTAGGGCCTGGACGGGCTTGGGCTTGGCATATTGGCATTTTAAAGAAAGAGGCCCAGCCCACGGCCCTAAGCCCTAAGGGCTTTTCAGGGCTTTTTACCAGATAGGCGGGCTTGGGCTTGAAAAGTAGGCCCAATGGTAGGGCCTGTGAGGGCCTGGGCCTCAGTTTTTTGCCGTGGGCTTTTTAAGGATCGGCCCAAGCCTGGCCCGACCCATGGCCAGGTATACTCAGAGGAACTGCTCGGCGGCCACACCTCTGTTGCTCGGCGTGCTGGTTCGCCTGTGCTTCAATGGCGGCCAACCCCTCCATTGCCTCTGAATTTCTATCTGCCTTTCTCTTTTCCAGCAAAAAAAAGAATTTGATCTGCCATTTTTTTAATTTCTGCAACTAGATTCTCCGCATAAATTGATGGATGGACGCAGGCGGAGGTATTGTAAGCTCCGATGGCTTTGATTAGTTCCTTTATTCATGTACGGTTTCAGTGTCAAATTTCATTTGCTTCTCACTTCAGATGTGAAAGTTTGCACCCATCATCCGAATGCCTCAAGGAATTTTTACGGGTGATGAGATTCTTGCCTTGGCCATATGAACTGCAGGTAAGTCTTTGGGAATGAAAACCAAACATTTTCTTAACTGTGATGGACATTAACACGACTTTCAGTATGAAACCAACCAATTTCTGACCTACTCATCAATTTATTCTTCTATTGTATTTAGTTATTTATCCTTGTTTTCATTCCTTCCTTACTTGGCTGGTTGGTGCTCTCGATCTTGGCTGGATTTGTTTAATTCAGACTCTATATTTTGTAGGATATACGATTCCTTTTCATGTTTTGTAGCCATTCTTAGACAAATAATGTTGTTACCCTAACAGCATAGATGAAAAAAATGCATCTCGTCTAATTGGACAAAACTGATAAGGTAAAACAGAGGAGGAAGTGCAATACATCACGATCTATATTGTGCCTTGTGAAGGAGAGCTTGCTGTTCTTCTCGCTGTTAATGAAGTTTAGTTCAGCGTGTGTATTTATCATTCTTCATATGTACGATAGAGTTAGGGGTTCTCAACTTCCACCCTGAGAAAAATTGGGGAGCTTGCTGGTTCAGTCCACCAGAGTTATCAAACTCTATTCTCTTTTCTTTCATGCAGCTACATGCTATACTATCACATCACATCATATGGGGATTGCTTGCGTGAATAAGGTTTGATTTTCTTTCCTGACACTTAAGTAGTTTATACTTTATACATGCATTTGTCCTGAATCCTAATCCGTTATATTTTTTCTGTTTGAATTAGTATAGCATAACTTGCGCCTGCACCCCCTAGGCAGGCCAAGTGAGGAACAAGCTTCCGTGGAGTTCTTCATGGGGAACCAATTTCCAGCTTTTAGGCTATAAGACTATGAGGTACAACTTCATTGAACAATCAAACATTATATTGGCTTGAAACGTTTATTCTTGTGCCATTTCAAATGTAATTCGAAAATATAAATATAATAGGATACAAAAGCTAGAGTGCATAAGCCAAATAACTTTTACTCATAGCCACCCATTTCACCTTGGGCCAGATAAAACAGATGCTTGTGGTGGAACTGAATATGTTGATGCATTATGTTGAACAAGCATGATCGAGTTTGCATCGATAGTTTCTACACTCATAGAACCTTCCAATACCTTAACCACTATTGACATTGAAGGCCTTCGAATGCTGTCATTTTGCAGGCACCATATTGCGAGCTTCATCATTTGAATCACTTCTTCCTGATGCGAAACCATATCATCACTATGCTTGTCAATGAGATAAACCAATTGGTCGTTTTGAGCTTTTTCCCGCAGTACATTTATAAGTTGAACTTCCTCCTCGGGCCGAGAATGGTCAATATTTTTTCTTCCACTTACTATTTCCATGACAACAACTCCAAAGCTATAGACATCAACTTTTTCAGTGATCCGCGATGTCAACCATTCAGGGGCCAGATATCCAGGTGTTCCTCTCATCACAGTAACTACCTTGCTTTGGTCCCTGTTTATTAACTTACATAGTCCAAAATCAGCCACTTTGGCGTTGAAGTAATCATCCAGGAGAATATTTTGTGGTTTGATGTCTAGATGAGCAATTTTCCGCTTGCACTGCTCATGAGGATAACACAGGCCCTTGGCAATATCCAATATGATCCTAGAACGGGTGCACCAATCAAGAGGGCCATTGTTATGACGGTAATAGATCCACCTATCAAGCGATCCTCTTGACATATATTCATATACCAGAAGCCTCTCAGTCTTCTCTGCACAGAACCCAATCAGCTTGACAAGATTGATGTGTTCAATGCTGCCAATAGTCTCGATCTCTGCCAAAAACTCTTTCTTCCCTTGTCTAGCACCTTCCAAACGTTTAACTGCAACTCTCTCTTCACCTAACTTCCCTTCAAAAACCGACCCAAACCCACCTTCTCCGAGCTTGTTAATGAAGCCTTCAGTGCATTCGCTCAACCTTTCCAAAGAATACCTCGTCGGCATTCCAAGTAACTGATCAAACTCAAATGCATCTTTATCTCCGTATTTCTTCCTCCACTTCAGATAAAGAGAAACAATAATGGCAAGCAATACAACAGCACTAACAGATCCAAGTGTAGCACCTAAAATCGACTTTTTTTTGTTTTCATCAATCTGCACCTTGAGGTAGGCAGTGGAGTCGGAACCAGGCTGCATTGATTGCAAGGAGAAGACCTTTGTCATCCATATACATTTGCTATCTCTGAACATAACTGCCATGCAAGAGCAATTATTCAAGCAGGCTTTCTTACAGTCGTCGACGCTTGTTGTGTTCACAACTGTATAGTTCTTATCAAAGTAAGAAATGGAGGGAAGGGTCAATAGTCGATGCTTGTCTTTTTCTTGGCAAGAGATTGGAGTTATTGGGACACAACCAAGATTTGGATTTCGTTCTTCCACCAATTTGAAGTAGCTTGAACTTGAATTAATATCAACTGGACAAGTACATTGCCCCTTGTTGCATAAGCCATACTCCCCGCAGGCAGTTGGGTAATCACAAGTATCCATTATTCCCTGCAGTACATCAAAAACCACATTCCAGCTAAAACCAGACCAATCATACAGCCTTAGATGTCCATCTAGATCTAATCTCATGTATTGTGGGGAGTAAACTGTTGTCAGCGAAATAGAACTACTATATACTTCTTCATCAAATAGCCGACGAAGGGTGAAGTTTCCATTTGTGAATGCAACATTTGTTGAATAATTTTCTATGTAGTCTTCTCCTTCACTTTCACCGGCAGGGGTATATTCAAGGTAGACTTGTGGTGGTCTGGATTCAACATAAGCATATACCCTTTTGGGAGCACCATGATAGAAAACTGATTCTCAGTCGTATTTGTCGCAGAAGCATTTGATGTGAGCCTCATACCTTCCACAAGTGTCTGTCCAGGGACTATTGTGTCAGTAGGATGATCAAATGACTGCCACACTGTTGCATTCTTGTGATCAAACAACACCAAATTTCCAATCTCGCTGATCACCATGCCTGCTACAGACCGACCCTTGTGTTGCTTGACCAGACGTGTCTATCGTCAGCATCACATAGGACCAAATTTCCATCCGAGGTAAACTCAAGGGTGGCATTCTCCCTAACAGGGTGATCCCGATTGGCAGACCAGACTACCTGAGGATCATAAATGCTGACGTATACCCCAAAGAGGAACCCGTCGCATAGGGACAAGGAGGGGACACAAAAGAACCCTGCGGCAAAGTAAGCCGCAACGCCGGAGTGAGTCTGTGGATTTGCGACGATGATGTCGCGGCTGTACCTGGAGCTGTCCAAGTAAGCATTGTTGTTGATCCAACCGTTCGATTGTTTGGATGTGGAATTGTCGCTCAAGGTTTGTGCCGCCAAGAGCATGGGTGCTGCAGCCGCAAGCACGAGTAAGAAGAGAACGGCAGGACCCATGGTGCTTCGGCGGAAACTACAATTAATCAAGAAAAATTAACTTCATTCTCAGCTTGCGAGAAGGCAGCAACAAACTCAGGATGGGCTTTCGAAATAGAAGAAGGATGGACTCGCACCTAAATGTTTGGCCAGAAATGATGGCCTCGATGGCCTCGCCGAGGTTTTCAGAGATGGATAGGTCTAGTTGAATATGTTCATTGTACTGGCTGTGCTCTTTGCATTCCCACGTACATCAGCAATGACAGCGAGCTTCCGTGGGCTGGTCATGTGGTTCACCGCTCATCCCTGTTAAACACAGAAGCATTCAACAACAAAATTCATGTCAGCACGAAACTAGTGTGACAAACTCAGTTTACTTGAACCAATCTTCTTTTTTTCACCGTCTGACTTAATTGCGGTTGGTCTCGTCCTAATGGAAAGGTAAATGGTTTTCTGAGGGTGGAAGGGTCCGTTTGCTTAAGACCATTAAGGTGATAATGAAGGTGATCCAGGACTCTTCTCAGGAGAGCTGTCCACCCCCACCCTCCCCTCTCTCCCCACTCCTGCAGTAAGTGCCGCCAGAGAGGCTGACCGTATCACCGACATGATCGGCGACACGGCACAGCCTACTGCTAGCTTTACGGGGCTAGATGACGACCACGGTCGTCATGAGCTGGAACTACAAGAACACCAACGCCGCAGTTTGCTAGTGGTAGCAAAACTTCCCATCGGTCGGTACAAAACACCCCTCTGGTCGTAGCTTTCCTGCAATTGGGTTCCAGCATCGACGACTTGTGATTGCAGCTTTTTTGCTGCCCGGACCCAGCACCTGCGATGTGTGGTTGCAGGCTTGCAACATTCTCACCTCAGTCGGCTGCAACTGCAACACGTAGCAACATTTGGAGGTGACGGTTCCAGCACGAGCCGAGATGCTGCAACTGGCACAACAGTAAGCTATAATCGGCGAGTAATTTTGCTGGAATCAGGGCGAGCCATTTTTTTGCTGGGATTAATGACGGCGAGCACTTTTTGCTCGAACCGGCAAATTTTTTGCTACAACTGGCGAGTTTGTTTGCTGCAAGCCTGCAACCGGCAACTGAGGGCTGAGGCAAGGTACACTAGGAGCTCATCGACCGTCGCCGCCAGATCTGCGACCCATGGTACATGCTACTGCATGCGCGGAGCTGGCAAGAATCAGGTGACGAACCCTACACTAAAGGTAATCACGAAGAGGGGGTGGGGGGTAAGCTGCTTGTTGTAAAAAGCAAGTGACTGTAAATCATAGTAGTAGGAGAGGGCGTTGTTGATCCACACCATCGAAGGTTTGGCCATGTAATAGTTCAAGGGCTGCGCCGTGGAGAGAAACAGCGCCGCAGTTGTAAGTACTAGGAAGAAGAGGAGATATGCAGCAGCCAGCATAAACTGAGGATGAACTCAGAGTAGTAGAATACAAGATCACAAGGTCGCACCTGATGATACTGAGCCGCCGATGTGATCGCCGGAAGAGAAAAGGTGGCCTCGGCAGGGTTGGGTCTCCGGGAAGAGTGTTTTGTGATTTTGGAGATGGATATTCTGGTCTGGCTAGTTCCCAAGTGTCTCTGACTGGCGAGCTGTATTCTGCTGAACCAGGATTTCCTTCGTAATTTGTGGCGTGTGCGTGTAGCACAATTGTGTACAAGTCAACAAGTCTCCGCGGGCCTGTTGTGTGGTCTACCACCCACGGCTCATCCCTGTTAGGCAGGAAAGGATGTGCTCCAGTCAGTAGGAGCATTCACTAATGATTGATACCGAGCCCCCAATTGAGAAGAAAGATCCGAAAAAGGATGCAGGTGTTGGATGCCTTGACTTGCGGGGAAGAGTGTTTTTTGTCAATTTGGAGATGTATTTTGGCCTGCTGACTTGCTAGCTGAACTATACTGGTCCAAGATTTCCATAACTAGTGTGCGCAAGTCGGCAAGTCTCTGCGGACTCGTCATGTGGCTCTTCCCTGTTAGCCAGGAAATGATGTGCTCCAGTCAGTGAAAATCATTCAAGGCAGTAAGGATGGGCATCTCCATCATGCTTGACAGGTTTGAGCCTGCACTTGTATATATGACAAGATGTTTGTGTTGGGATGCAACTTCTTCAGTTTGTGCTTGCACGCCGTGGGCATCTCTGAACTTCTTTCTGCGACAATCCGTAACTAAATCTGAACTTGTTGACTGCGTCGAAGCCAAATCAAAATCTTGCATGTATGTACTTGCTACCCGCAGGAATCTACGTGCTTCTGTCAGATCATTGCATCTTATAGTTATTACTAGTTTGGCATGACCCCGCGGCTAAGCTTTTCTTTTCGAGAAAATTTTTAATCTATTCCTCAACTGTCATGGCAGTACTAAAAACATTAAAAATAATAAAAATTACAGCCAGGTCAATTGACTGCCTAGCGGCAAATACAAGCACTAGAGGGACCCTGCCGCTAAACTAACACAAGGGGAAACTACGGAGGTTCGCCTAGCCTAATCGTATGATGTTCAGTATTTCTGGTAGGCATGCATGCATAGTCGATGGTTCATATAACCACTACGTACTTTAATTATGTACTTTAGTAATCGAAATGCTTTTATATTTCTTAATGGAGGGAATAGTAGATAAATTTAGCTTATTCTATCTTACAATATTAGGAAGATATCAAATATTAACTCGAAAAAGAAAGGTACCACTAAAACAATACAACAATTACCTGACGACCTTTCGTTCTACTGAAAAGCATCATCCTTTCTGTATTTCTTCAAGTGAAATCTTCAATTATATCATCATATTTCTTCTCTAATAAATAATTTCCAAGTACTTTTTCGGGACTACGCAAAGCTTGCGTATCTTTTCATTGATAGAAGAAAACAGAATGAGTACATGGGGTAAAATAGAATGAATACGCAAAGGTCATGAACGCAAGAGGGCGTGAACAAGATGCCCAGAGCAGAGAGAATGGGTGCTCAGCCCAAACAAGCAAACAACACAGCAAAACCCCCTAACTTGAGAGGAGATCCTAACCTACGCAGCAACCAACAACCACAAACTCATCACGGCGGACGCCGCGAGCACACAAAACGACGCCTACAAGAAGGACAACGACGCCGTAGCGCCATCGTCGTCCGATCCGAAGAATCAGACCTAGGGTTTCCCCTGGTGCTCGAAGAGGGGCGCAGAGGGAGGCCATGGCAACGCCTTCAAGAAGGGAACGACACTCGCAAAGTGTCGTCGATTCCAGCATCGGCAAGTCGAGCAGGGATTTCTCCCTGGCCTTGGTCCGAGCAATCCCGTAGCTGCCGGATCAGGGACCTGGAGTTGAAGGTCAGACGTCGGTCAAAAACTGTCAGCACAAGAAGGGGCCGTGCCGGACACAGTGAGCCTTGGACATGACAGGGGACAAGGCAGTTGTCGCTAATGCAATGATTCACCAACTTGAGTTGAAAGAAGCTCCTTTTCTGCAGAAGCAACTGGCATAGTGTGTTCTTTCCTTTGGCTTTGCATAAAGAAGAATCGTGAGTTAGTATGCTCACCAGATTGTTTTACTTCATCTCTTTCAAGGGTCTAGCTCCCGCAAATTGTTGATGTGTTTGTAGTATTTTTTTTAATTATGATTCACCTTTAGATTGCGCTTCAAGGCTTAGAACTCAGCAAGGTACATGATATATCTTCATCCTTTACGTCAACCAATGTCAAAGGCACACCAATGTGGGTGCTAGGAGGCGCATATGCCACTCCCATGCTCGATGCGCTTGCATTATATGAACACAGAATTTTGCGTCAAGGAAAAATTTGAATTTGTCTCATGTGGCAATTGACTATTCTGCATTACGATTCACAAAATTGAGTTTGTTTCGTATAATCATCTTGCTTCAAGTTCGTCGTGTGGCTTTCTTGAGGTTGTGATGCCCTTTCCTCTGCTCCCTCCGATTTTTCTTTGGGACATTAGAACAAAGGAGCTAACTAAAAAACAAGAAAATAAGATTGGAGATAGTAATTTCTGTGCTAGTGTATACTGTATATACCAGTCTGGGATTATGCTGAAATATGCAATTCATCCGCCAATGCAGCAACGTCCGACTACTCTCCGTTGATGTCAAAGACACGGTAGGCTCATCACATCACGTCCGTCGATTGCAAAATTAAGCACTGATAACTACTCCCTTCATCCAAAATAGCTTGTCCCAAGCTTGTG